AAACACTGTGCCTATCCCCCCCAGAGTAAACATCACAGCAGATCAGCTCTGGGGTGAAACAGCGCTGCAGCCTCCCTTGCATGAAGGTAGCTATGTAGAATAGGAGGAGCTTGGCCCACTGGCCCTCTGGCCAATGTAGTTGCTGACCCCTGCTTCGTGAGGCCTCGCCTGAATGTCTTCTTTAGGTGAAGCTGGGAACTGAGCAGGTCTCTGGAAATAATAATAATAATAATAATAATTTATTTATACCTCGCCCATCTGGCTGGGTTTCCCCAGGCACTCTGGGCGGCTTCCAACCGAATATTAAAAACAATACATTAAACATTAAACAATACATCAGACATTAAAAACTTCCCTAAACCAGGGCCACCTTCAGTTGTCTTTTAAAAGTAAAGTAGTTGTTTATTGCCTTGACATCTGGTGGGAGGGTGTTCCACAGGGCAGGCACCACTACCGAGAAGGCCCTCTGCCTGGTTCCCTGTAACCTCACTTCTTGCAGCGAGGGAACCGCCAGAAGGCTGTTGGAGCTGGACATCAGTGTCTGGGCTGAATGATGGGGGTGGAAATCATTGAGGACTGCTTTCAAAGGGCACTTTGACACCACTGCATTTAAAATATGTTAAAAATAGATGTAAAGGTGGCCAAGCACTCCTGGCACAATCATTTTGTGAAAGTGTGATTATCCCAAAAGAAATCTCTTGCTCTAGTGTTGAACTACATACCCTCCTTCCCTGCAGCACCGTTGGGTTTCCTATTTTGGGAGAGGCACAGAGGGATTTTTTTACTTAATCCCATTAATGTTTTGCATGTCATAGAATCCTAGAGCTGGAAGAGAATCCAAGGGTCTTTTAGTTCAGTCCCTTCGGTGCAGGAATTGTCAGGTTGATCTGATGTGAAACTGGTTTAACTGGTTGCCTAGGAAGGAAATGGTTCTTCAGATATGAAGGAGCGCTGAGTCCATTTAGGACAGTGGTGTCCAAACTTTTTTCAAAGAGGGCCAGATGTGATGAAGTGAGGGGTTTGTTTTTTTATTGTTGAGGGGTTTTTTTTGGATTTTACCTCAGGAAATAAACTGCCACAGGGGCCAGATTAAACCGACCGAAAAAGCCAGATTAGGCCTCCAAAACGGACTTCTTTGGACATGCCTGATTTAGTAGATGCTTACTCAGTTGCTTTTAGGTTTGCGGGGGCCTGCTTTGATAAACCCCCCCGACTCCGGGTATGCTGTGCCAGGTAAGATCCCCCCACACAACAATTATTTTATTTTATTTATTTAATTCATAAAATTTATGCACTGTTCAAAGAATCCCTTGTAGCATTTTGCAGAAGAAGAAGAAGAAGAAAGGTATAAAACTATAAATAAAAACAGCCACGTAAAACGTTCGAAAATAAAATAAAGCCACTAAAAACTGATTAAAATACATTTTACATATCTGGGTAGGCTTGCCTCAACCAAAATGTTTTCTGTAAGGGGCCAAAAAGAGTATAGCGAAGCCACCTTTCCTGGTCTCTAATAGACAGGGACTTCCCGCTGTTCCAACTGCGGTGTTGGCAGGTGAAATCAGACTTTCTAGCTGGACTCCTGCACCATTTTCATCACTCCCCCATGCCACGTTGAATGAACGCACAGCTGTGTATCGCAAGGGAGGTGGCGAATCCAGCCCTGTGAATGCAGGGCAGAGGGTGCTGAGCAAAGAAAGGGTTCTAGGTCAAGTCTTGTGCCAGCGGGCCATGCGGGAGCCCAGGGCAACCTGGCATCTGCCCAAGGGTGGTGCCTGGCCTGAGTGGAGTTATGGAATATGGGCCAATCCGTCCCACCGCCTCCTGATCTGAGGAATAACTCCTAGCCCCCCGCAGCTCATTCCCTGCTACCTCCTAAGCTAGGAAAGGACGAGTTCCTGGGAAGGGGGGGAAAGCCTTTGCAAGCCTTCCTTCCACATGCCTTTCGAAAATGCATAGTCTTGTGATGAAGTCAGCCTGAGAGACCCAGAGAGGGGTCTTGGGCTGGTGAGGGCGGGGGCTGGCTCTGGCAAGGATTAGGAGAGCATAAACAGTCTCCAAGAAGGCTGGGTGTGCGGATTCTCCACACAGCGTTTGGTGCAAGCGGTAAATATTGGGAGTCTGTGGAATTTAATAAAATGAAATGAATTAGCTGCATTGGGTGTCAAGAAAGCTGGTCTTGGGAAAGGCATCAGGTGGTGTAAGTCTGCCCATCCTTTTGTCAAAAGAGACAAACCCCCAAATATGTCTGAAAGGAGGGAAGCCTTTCGTGAAGTGCCAGATCAGCTTCACTCAACCTGGCAGCCTCCAGAAGTTTTAGACGGCAACTCCCATCCTCAGTCTCCCTTGGCTGCTCTGGCTGAGGCTGAAGGGATCTGGGGTCCAAAAACAGCTTGTGCCCCAGATGCATGGGGAGCTGCTGAAGATGACACAGGGCTTGTTCCAGATTTTGGGGAGGTGGTCTGAAGACAGCCTTCTCCATCACTGCCTCCTTGCCACTGCTGCTGCCCAGTCACTAAATTTATCCCTGGGCCCAGTGCTCAAGTTATATCAGGCTTAGGTCCAAGCTCTCTGAAAGGTGGTGCTGTTTTTATTGTAATTATCTGTATGTTGTTAATAGATTTTTCATAGAATCGTAGAATTGTAGAGTTGGAAGGGGACCATGAGGGTCATCTAGTCCAACCCCCTGCAATGCAGGAATCTTTCGTCCAGTGTGGAGCTTGAATCCACAGCCCTGAGATTAAGAGCTCTACAGACTGAGCTATCCAGCATATAGTCCATGTTTAATAGTTTTTCAATTATTGTTTTTTCTCTGTTTTTAGCAGTTTTTGTTTTTATATGTAAGCCACCTTGAGTCCCTGTCAGGGAAGAAGGCTGTGCATAAATAAATGAAGAAATAGGGTGTTCCTGAGCATGCATGGGAAATCTTTCCCTTCCTACTACATCTTGGAGGACAAGACGTGCAGAGGCTAAGGCTCTTTATCTCCAAGGCAGGGCCAGTGTGCCAAGAAGGAGGCCACAGCAAAATAAAAATAAAAATAGGCCTTTTCTGTTTCCCCTGACTTCACCTTGCCATGCAGTTTTGATTCCTGTTTTAAACTGTGGTGTTCATGCAGCTGTTTGTCAGTCAGTCAGTCAGCCAGCCAGCCAGGATGCAGCTGTTTGTCAAGTCGCAGTCCCAACCTGAAGCCACTAGAGGTCATGAGGAGCACCATTGCTGATTCTTGGGAGCAATCAGGGGTTGAAGCCAGGTTGTGAAAGTCCCTGTCGTTGGGCAAAGGGGGCAGTTGGCCAACCAGCAAGATTGTCCAGAGGGGTATGGGTGTGGGCCAGTGTTCTAATGAAGGAATACTGGAAATTAACCTTCCCTTATTTTGGGTGGCGTCCAATATATTTTCAGAAGCCAGAGGAGAAAGGTCTTCGTAAGACAATTCCTGCAGTTGGATCAAGCCCTTTTAAAATCACCCAAGCTCATGGCCATTACATCACATGGAAACCTAATCCCATAGTTTAGTTAACAACAACAATTTTTTTATTTATACCCCGCCCGTCTGACTGGGTTGCCCCAGTCGCTCTGGGTGGCTTCCAACATATATAAAAACACAATAAAACTATACAGAACTGCCTTCAGATGTCTTCTAAAGGTTGTATCATTACTTATCTCCTTGGCTTGGGGGGTCACATAACTCCATACTCTCCAACTTTTCTTCAGTGAAAATAGGGACATCCTAAGGAAAAGCGGGACATTCCAGGATCAAATCAGAAAGCGGGACGGCTTCTGTAAATCCAGGACTGTCCCTGGAAAACAGAGAAACTTGGAGGCTCTGCAATAAAACATCAAGCATTAATAATAATAATCTGAGCCAATATAAAAAGTCACAATAACTTTAAAATAAACAACTTATATCAAACAAAGCAACATTTAACAATCCATCAGAATCTAACAGTAAACAGTAAAATTAAACATCAGCAAATAATAATTAAACAGTTTAATGTTGCGTTGTGTAAAGAAGGACTTTATTCTGTGTGTCCTGACCCTGCAAACATTCAGTTTCATTGGATGGCCCCGAGTTCCGGTATTTTTAAAGAAGAAGAAAACACTCCCATCTCTCTCCATTTTCTGCACATCACATATAATTTTATACATTTCTGTCATGTCTCCTCTTACTCACTTTGCTTGCCTTTTCTCTAAACTGAAAGGCCCCAAAGGTATATTGTTGTTGTTGTTTAGTTGCTTAGTTGTGTCCGCCTCTTCGTGACCCTGTGGACCAGAGCACGCCAGGCACTCCTGTCTTCCACTGCCTCCCGCAGTTTGGTCAAACTCATATCCATAGCTTCAAGAACACCGTCCAACCATCTGAAAGTCAGCTGCACAAAAACACAATGAAATGCCCGTATGTTCAGGTAAGACGGTTGCAATAAGAATATAATAATAATTTATTATTTATACCCGCCCATCTGGCTGGGTTTCCCCAGCCACTCTGGTCGGCTTCCAACAGAGTATTAAAATACAATAACCTATTAAACATTAAAAACTTAACCTATTAAACATTAAAAACTTCCCTAAAAGCCTTCAGATGTCTTCTAAAAGTCTGGTAGTTATTTTTCTCTTTGACATCTGGTGGGAGGGCGTTCCACAGGGCGGGTGCCACTACCAAGAAGGCCCTCTGCCTGGTTCCCTGTAACTTGGCTTCTCGCAATGAGGGAAGCGCCAGAAGGCCCTCGGAGCTGGGCCTCAGTGTCTGGGCAGAACGATGGAGGTGGAGACACTCCTTCAGGTATACTGGGCTGAGGCCGTTTAGGGCTTTAAAGGTCAGCGCCAACACTTGAATTGTGCTTGGAAACGTACTGGGAGCCAGTGTAGGTCTTTCAAGACACCCATCTTACCTAATGGCAGAAACCTCCTTTTTGTTTTCAGTTTCCATTCTGCATGGATAAGGTGAAGCAGCCTCTGATGCCTCCAGCACTATGATGGAAGGGGCCCTTGCATCATCTGGAAGGGCCATAGCTCAGGGGCAGAGAATCTGCCTTTCAAGCAGAAGGTTCCTGGTTCAATCCCCAATGGCGTCTCCTGGCAGGGTTGCGAGATACTCCCTGCCTCAAATGCCAGAGAGCTATAGCTGCCAGTCTGTGTAGACAATACCAAGCAATATACGTCCTATGTTCCTACACTTGCGAGCGGGTCTAGTCAAAGGCCTCCGAAGAGGAGTAGTTCATGGCCTGTCAGAATCTGCCCGGTTCACAGGGAGGGGAGGAACAGCAAACCCCCCCCCCCTTTTGCTAGATGATACAACCTCTTTCTCTTTGCTGGGCTCAGGATTAGACCGCAACCTGGGGCTTGGCGGCCTGCATGTCTGGGCCCCAGAGTGCCATTTCCTCATCGTTTTAAAGAGCCTTTTCCTCACATTAATCTCCTTTATTTTTTATTTTGACAAATTTACATTTCCAGGAAGTTGCAAAGGTCAGAGCTGCATCTGTTGCTGGTTACCTCGCAAGGAAGTGCTGGGTGGGTTGGTGCTGGTGCTGCTTGCTTGAGGGGGGGTGGTGGTGGGGATGGGGTTATTTTTCTAATTTTTGTCTCTTTTTTTGCAGCAGTTTCCAAAGCAACAGGGAGCAAAGTCATTTTTAAAGAAGAAGCTAGGAAAGAAAAGAGTCGGCTGGTGGCCTCAAAGGCCGCTAATGATGGGGGTGATGAAAATCAGATTGCCTCTAATTTCTTCAGGGTGGGGGGAAACTGGAACGATTTTTCATCCCTCTGACTCTGGCTGGCTGAAGTGCAGGAAGGTCGTCCATTTTGGCTTGGGGGGGGTCTGTTCTCTCTGCCTAGCTTGCCTTTCCTTTGGCTGAGCCGCCACCCCCCCCCCCCTTGGCGCTGCGGAGCTTGTGAGGACTGGAAGATGTTGGCTAGCTGATATGTCAAGTGCAACCTCTCCCCCCCACCCCACCAACAATTTGTGGCTTCTTGAGGTCCCCGAATTCATCAGCCACCCCTGCAAAACTCCTTCCTGCCTTCCTCTCTCTGCCTGAGTGCTTGGCGCCTCCTGTCCTCAGCCTTGCCTCGCTACCAGCCATCTTTGCCCCCAGGCTTTTGGGGGGTTGTTCTGGCCCGCCCCCATTCCTTCAGCTCTCCTGCCTCTTGGCCAGCTTTCCCTTTCCACTTAAACCCCAGCCCCTCCTCAGACTCCGCCAAAAAGTTTTCTTAAAGAACGCAGACTCATAGAGTTGGGAGGGACCCCAGGGTCATGTAACCCATGGGTAGGCAAACTACGGTCTGGGGGCCAGATCAGGCCCAATCGCCTTCTCAGTGTGGCCCACAGACGGTCCAGGATTCAGGGTGTTTTTTCATGAGTAGAATGTGTGGTGTGATGGGATGTGGGTGGCACTGTGGGTTAAACCACAGAGCCTAGGACTTGCCGATCAGAAGGTCGGCGGTTCGAATCCCTGCGACGGGGTGAGCTCCCGCTGCTCGGTCCCAGCTCCTGCCAACCTAGCAGTTTGAAAGCACGTCAAAGTGCAAGTAGATAAATAGGTACTGCCCCGGAGGGAAGGTAAATGGCATTTCCGTGCACTGCTCTGGTTCGCCAGAAGCAGTTTAGTCATGCTGGCCAGATGACCCGGAAGCTGTACGCCGGCTCCCTCAGCCAATAAAGCGAGATGAGCGCCGCAACCCCAGAGTCGGCCACGACTGGACCTAATGGTCAGGGATCCCTTTACCTTTAGAATGTGTGCTTTTATTTAAAATGCATCTCTGTGTTATTTGTGGGGCATAGGAATCAGTTCATTTCCCCCAAAAAATATAGTCCGGCCCCCTACAAGGTCTGAGGAACAGTGGACCGGCCCTTTGCTGAAAAAGTTTGCTGACCCCTGATGTAACCCAACTCATTGCAAGGCAGGGATACCAAGGCTCTTTCTTCCGTGTTGCTGTTTCCCACCCCATTCTCAACAGAAAATGATGCCAGTCCCGGTATGGTAACCCTTGCAAGATAGACATTGTCCCTGTCCCTCATAGAATACAGTTCACTTTGACCCCATAGTATTCTATGATGCCATCACAGTCAATCCATGTCTGAGGGTTCATCTCAAGAGGCTGAGGTCACCACAACATCTGTGCTGCCTGGGCCGATGGGAGCCGCAGTCCAAAACATCTGGAGGGCACCAGGTTGGGGAAGGAGGATATGTTGTATGTGCAGAATGACGAGGTTAGGGTGGTTTTCCTGCCCCTACAATGCAATTAAAAAACAAACAAACCCACAACCAACATTTTGAAGAAAACATGTAAATATTTGCATAATCATATAAATATTACAATGGCAAAATAGAAAGGTCTTGCATAAATAAAATACCGGCACGTATTAACAACAATTATACAATTCACACACACACACACACACACACACAAATCTGCATAAGAATGATCAATTTGGACTTTATAACCAAACAAGTGTTGTGCAATTAGGCCTATATCATTTTTTGCCAAATAGAGAAGCTTCTGGATATAGTTCATCAGACTTTATATCCATTTTGTATATTCAGTTGTGAGGAGTCATTTATTCCTAAAATCACCAGCCTTTTGACTTCTGCCTCTTCACTGAGCAAATTCTGTAAGCTGAGGCAATTCCTTCATCCTGTATGTAGGTTGGGCAAAGGCTTGTTTTTGAGAAACCCATGCTGGGTCTTAGTACAGTGGTACCTCGGGTTAAGAACTTAATTCATTCTGGAGGTCCATTCTTAACCTGAAACTGTTCTTAACCTGAAGCACCACTATAGCTAATGGGGCCTCCCGCTGCCACTGCATGATTTCTGTTCTCATCCTGAGGTAAAGTTCTTAACCTGAGGTACTATTTCTGGGTTAGCGGAGTCTGTAACCTGAGGCGTCTGTAATCCGAGGTACCACTGTAATCACAGCATCCTGTTCTAACTGCCCACAGACCGACTGTTAAATGATCTGTTCAAGGACCTTTCCTGGTATCGAGGTAAAGCTCACCAGTCAGTAGTTACCTGGGTCTTCTCCCGCCCCCCCTTTTTGAAGATGGGGACTGGGGACAACATTTGTCTACCTCCACAAAATGGCTCAGTTCTGATGGGCAGAGTTAACTTAGATAAAGACTGCAAGCAGGGGGTGAGTAGATCACGAGACAAACAATGATCTTGTGTGGTTTAAAACAACACATGCATTAGTTAGACGTTCAGAAGAAGGAAATGTATTTGCTTTTCTCCAACCAGTTTAACATTTAAGATGTATGGTTAGTTCAGCAGCGATGGTTTGGGTGCTTATATTATTGGTATCAGTCATTAGGATCTGAATATTCTCAACAGGTTCAAATGTTGTCATATTAGTAACACAAAAATGAGATCACACGCTTGTTTTATATCCCATGTAAATATTTTTAGTTGGTCCACTCTTGCCAGGAGACCCTGATTCCCACGGCCCTGACTCTCCCACCACTTCTGTGCATTAAACCACTCCTCTTTGGGGTGCCCCCCCACTTTCTGATTCTATCAGTCAGTCATCTCTGCCCCTTGCAACCCCTCCTATCCAGAGATCAAGGCCTGCTCCTGGAATAACCTTTCACTTCTCTTGCACAAGCAGAAGTGATGGTCAGCATTCCGTTGCTGACAGGCTCCCACACAGCAATGCTGGCTTAACTTGCCATGCCATGACATCATTGCAGCTCAGCGAATGTGTGGCTAACAGGCAGCTTTCAGCCTGTACACTGTTAAAAGTTTTGTTATTTTGCAAAGAATGGTTCCTAATAAAAAGGCAATTTCTTTGAAAACAAGTTGGGGAGGATCCAGTGCCAAGAAAAAGAGCCCAGGAGATTTATAGCTGAGGAAATACTTCCCCCCAACTCTGCGGACAGTTCCAGCAGGAACAATAGCCTGATGCGCTGCATGAGCCAAACTGATGGGGTTCGGTGTGGTGGTAGTGGGGAGGTTTTATCAGTGCTTTTTCCTTTGTGGTCCCCTCCCTTCCTGGAAATGCAAGATTCAAACCCCCTCCCCCCTCCCGGGCCTGCTGGTGTGTAATCAGCAGGAATCGAAATATCCGCACTCGGAAAAAGTCATGAGGAGGGTGTCATTGGCCGGTGATTGATGGGTCCAGACGGCACAGTGGTGTGTCTCAGTTGGCGTGGTGGCCGAGTGCCAGCTCTCAAGCAATATCCACATATTCTTTCAGTGTCTTTGCAAGCCCCTCCGGGACCCTCCAAGGGAAGCTAATGGACCTCTCTCTCTCTTCTCTGTCACACACACAGACATCCTTCCACACACTGGGCTTTGCTTTATTACCAAACGCCTCTGGCAGGGACTTGACCACAGTGCAGCTCTGAGTCTGCATCCTCCGCAGAGAAGTGGAGAGGTCACCGTCTTGTTCTCAGGGAGCACAGAGACAAGGGATATTTCAGTCAGGGTGGGGGTGGCTTTTACCCAGCCTCTGCTGCCCAGTTGATCTCCCTGGGTGCTTTCTGGACAGCGAGAAAAAAAATGTTGCTGGTGGGCCTTTGAGAGGAACCAGACAGGGGGTGGGGGCAGGCTTCCAGCCCCTTATCTTGATAGCCCTCCTGACAATTTATCCAAGTGGTTTCCAACTGGTGGTCAGCGGACCCCAGGAGGTCCGCCTAACCCACCTGTGGGGTCCATGGCACATACTTGTCAACTGTCTGAGACATCATGTTTCGGAGAGGGGGCAAGCCCTTAGGTGAAAGCACAGTGCCCCAAAACTTGTGAGATCACAGCTGGATGCACGTCTCACATGAGATTAAAAAAAGGTAAAGGACCCCTGACCATTAAGTCCAGTCGCAAACAACTCTGGGGTTGCAGCGCTCATCTCGCTTTACAGGCTGAGGGAGCTGGCGTTTGTCCACAGACAGTTTTTCCAGGTCATGTGGCCAGCATGACTAAGCCGCTTCTGTCGAAACCAGAGCAGCGCACAGAAACGCCGTTTACCTTCCCACCAGAGCGGTACGTATTTATCTACTTGCACTTTGATGTGCTTTCAAACTGCTAGGTGGGCAGGAGTAGGGACCAAGTAACAGGAGCTCACCCCATTGCGGGGATTCAAACTGCTGACC